GGTGGGGCAAGCTATGCTACAGTGATTTTCTGTTTACCTAATTGTTTAGCGTCTGAGGAGTTTCACTTCTTTCTCGTGGGTTCTGTCTGCAGAAGGCGGCACTGACTCTCACAGTGAAGAATCGGATTCAGATTTATCAGACGTGCCGGAGTTGGACTCCGATATTGAGCAAGAAACGCAAATCAATTACGATCGCCAGGTCAGTCTGCAGAACGATTTGAACTTCTCCAGTCACCTTGGTGTGTCATTGGGCGGGGCCATCGCACCACACACACACACACACACGACTGCTGTCGGGCAGAAGACACACATACGGAGAATCTCCCAGTTCTTGCCTTTCAATGCAGGTTACAAAGTGGCGTTAATCAGTTAGAAGCTTGAAACGTGGTCGGTTTCAAAGCTGGATCCGTCCATCTGGGAGGTTCTGCCTCCCAGTACCTGTGGCTTCTGAGTTCTCCCTTTCTTACAGAAACACTTGCAGTAAAGCCACAGGGGGCATTTCCTAGCAGATCCCTGAAGCCCAGGTAGTCCTGGTTTCTCTCTCCACACCCCAACGGCCATCCTCATTTAAAGTAAAATCCTGGACACAGTGTGCACGGCTTCTCCGGCCGGAGGCCCCTCTGGCAGACAAGTCAGGCAACTACATCCACCTTGGGTCTTGGGGTTTTTTAGCAGACACACAATTTAAGTGATAGTGCGTTCCAGAAAAGAGCCATCTCCCAGGGCCACCGGGGCACATGGCACCGTGCTATGGTGGTAACCCCCAAACCAAAAGCCAGGGCCAGTGAGTCAATACCCACTCATAGTGAGCCTCCGGGCGAGGTGGGCGTCTGAGACTGTCACTCTCAGGAGGAGGGGGTCACAGGAAAGGACTGGTCCGGAACTCCTGCCCGCACTCACTCTGCCATAGCCTGACAGCAGAGGGAATGAAGCCTGAGTAGAGGGAGTGGAGCACGTGAGGGAGGAAGAAGGAGCCGTTTTCTGCATTGAGAAGTTTGGATTTAACAAAATGGCCTTCTCAGAAGAAGGGAAAGGCTGCTCTGTCGAAGTCTCGGCCTAGCATTCTCTCCCAGGCTTGTATTTCCAGAGCTTCTCATATGGTGTCTACTTTATGGTCAGAATGTTCCTGCTCCCCTGGAGCAAAGGACTGTTGGCCCACTCGGCAGACAGAAGTTAAGGTGCACAGGGGTTAGGAGACCGGTTCATATAAAGCCCCAGACATGCCACAGCTAGAATGCAGGACCAGACGGTGACTCCTGGATTCACTGGCCACGTCAAACGCTTAGTCCGCCATCCAGCTCACGGCAACCCCCAGGCCAGAGGGGAACATCCCCTTAGGGTCCCCATGGCTCTAAACCTTCAGAGCGGCTGCTGGGCTGCTAACTGGTGGGTAGCAACCCAACTCTTGGCCTGTTACAAATAAAAATAAGAAAACGCTTCTTTACATTCCTCTTCCCTGAAAGGCCATCTCGTGTTGGTTTTGTTCAGAGAGAAACCCACGCAGTATCTTCTGGAAGCTGAAGCAGGCCCGGCCTGCTGAGAGCATCAAGACAAGGTCGCGATGTGTCTGAAATCTGAAGACAGACTCTGCTTCCCTTCCAGGTTTACAAAGAAGATCTACCTCAGCTGAAGCAGCAGCGTAAGGAGAAGACCCGCGCGGGGCCCTTCCTCAAACGAGAAAAGGCTCCTGAGGAGAGCCTGAAACTCCAGTTCATACACGGGTAGGCGGCCATTTGCGCCCTGACGAGGGCGCCCCTCTGTCTCTGCCGAGCCTGACAGCAGCGTGACAAGGCCCAGTGGCCCCACGCCTCAGTCCTCTCACACTGTGTCTTCAGTGTGGCTCATACTTTCAGTGGCTCTGTCCAGGCTCTCCAGTTGGTATTCTGTGGCTGTGACCGTCCTTGGGCGTCTCAGCCCTCATGTGCCTCTGTGGCACACGTGTTGTGCACACTGGGTGCCAGTTCTCTTCTTCCTCCGCCCCTGACATACCCCGTTCCACCCCCAGGGCTGCACACTAGGACAGTGGTTTCTTTGAGCATTTCTTCTTTGAATCCTGCAAAATCTTATGCACCCTTGCACATTCTGAATAGATATATCTAAGCATTTGCATCATAGCTTTTCATCTTTGTGGCGAATATCGAACCTGGTGCATTCTAAACACAGGAGTTGTCTAAGCGGACCCTGTGCAACCCAAGTGTCAAAGAGATTCGCGCTTCTCCATGGCGCACCTTGAAACCCAACGGACAGGGCTGCCGGGGTGGGGGACGTGTTACTTCATTTGCATTTCTCCTCGCACGTACTCCCGATTCCATTCTCCTCTACATTTTACCTGGATGTGATATTTTTATGTTTGAACGTCTTTTCTCGATTGCTCTATTATACCTCTACAAGGAAACAAGTCTCTGAGTTGAATTTAAAGTTATTTCTTATCGCCATAGCACTGACTGCTGAACAGGGTGGTAGTCCCAGGCAAACGTCATGTTTCAGTATTTGCAGTGTTATTCATCTGAGTGGAGATGTGTTGAAAGTAGCAAGTGGGTGATGTGTTGGGCTGCAAACTAACTACAATCTCAGCGGTTCGAGCCCACCAATCACTCCACAGGAGAGAGATGAGGCTTTCTGCGTCTGCAGAGATCTCCCAACCAGACGCCCCAGGAGCAGTTCCAGTCTGTCCCAGTAGGTCTCTGTATCAAAATGAATTCGCTGCAGTGAGGCTTTTTTTTTTTTAATTAGTGCAAAATAGATGCCAGATTTTCAAGGCTTAGTGTGAACAAATATGAAATGTTTCATTTAAAATGTTCTATGTGGATTACATGTTGAAATGATAGCTCACCACCATCAAGCCGATGCCCACCCATAGCGACCCGTAGAACGAGGGAGTAGAAAGCCTGGTCTTTCTCCCTAGGAGTGGTGGGTGGTTTCAAACTGCTGACCTTGCAGATTTCAGCCCAATGTGTATCCATTATGTCCTCGGGGCTCCGTAGGTCTTAGATATAGTGAGTTAAAATGTTACTCAAATAAGCTTCATTGGTTCCTTTTTATTTATTTATTTTTTTAATGTGGGAGTAGAAGACTTTAGATTATATATACGACTCACATGTTTTTTTTCCAAATCATTTTATTGGGGACTCATACAGCTCTCATAACAATTGTCAAACACAATTATACATTTGTTGCCATCATCATTTTCAAAACATTTTCTTTCTACTTGAGCCCTAGGTATCAGCTCATTTTGCCTGCCTTCCGTACACTCTGTCCCTCATGGATCCTTGATAATTTATCTTTTTTTTTCATGTCTTACACTGACCACTGTTTCCCTTCACCCATTTTTCTGTTGTCCGTTCCCCGGGAGGGGGGTTATATGTAGATCATTGTGATCAGTTCCCCCCTCTCTCCTTCCACCTTCCCCTTTCCCTCCTGGTATCGCTACTCTCATTATTGGTCCTGAGGGGTTTATGTGTCCTGGATTCCCAGCGTTTCCAGCTCTTATCTGTAGCCGACCGGTCAATTAAGTTTCACCCATTTTGTCCAAAGCGGAGAAATGGGAATCCCTTGACTTGCAAAGGGAGGAGTCCTTTGCCGGGTGTTAGAGTCCACGTTCCACACCTGCAGGTTGGCTGTGATGGGCCCCTGGGCCAGGCTCCCAGGGAGGTTCTGCAGCCCATGGTGATCGCCACCGTAAGACTGGGCGGCCACTGTGAAAGGGGAGGCGTGGGGGAGCGCCCTCCTGCGCCTCACCCCCAGCACCCCCAGACTGACGGTTGTTCAGGGAGTGCCTGCACTAGCTAAGGATCCGAAAATGGGTTCTGTGAAGACGATGGGTGCTGGTGTGCCCCTTACAAAGTCACCACCGGCCCTCAGAGGGCCTTGCAGAGAGGTGCCTGCAGAGAGGACCCCTGGGTGCACACGTCCACGTCCCCCTGTGAGCGTGGCCTCCACCGACCCCTGCCCCGTTCACCCGTGCTCTGATTAACGGCCGGCCGTCTTAGGTGTGTATGTGCTGCAGTTACAGGGGCTACGACTGTAGAAACAACCTCTTCTACACACAAGCCGGGGAGGTGGTGTACCACGTGGCCGCCGTGGCGGTGGTGTACAGCAGGCAGCAGCACTCCCAGAGGCTGTACCTGGGCCACGACGACGACATCCTGTGCCTGACCATCCACCCAGTGAAGGACTGCGTGGCCACCGGGCAGGTAGGTGGTGTCTTCTGAGGGCGAGGCCGTTCGTTTTCAATCCGGCTCACCGTTTAGAAAGGCAAGGCATGCCCGGTAGCCTGTGGCAGGGGACAAGGAGCAGAAGATTCCAGGACTGCTGGCCCTTCCATGAGGACGGGAGAATCCACCAGCGTGTTCTCACTCTGCCGGGAAGCATCCGAGGTCTGACTAGGGGCCTAGCTAAGTCTAACGTAGGCTGCGTTCCACCGACTGTCTACCTGTTTTCTCATCACTGCCCAGGACACCTAGCACCCTGTTAAATGTGTGTTGCACGAATCACTCTTAATGCGGGTGGTACAAACGGTTCATGGGCTTGGCTGCCAACCGAGGGGTTGGAGATTCAAGTCCACCAGAGGAAATCTGGAAGAAAGAGCCGGCAGGCCCGGCAGAAGTTGCTTCCAGTCTCGGTTCTCTCACCGGGTCGACTGGCTGCCCTGGTGACAACATCTAGTGTCCAGTTCATTGTGGAACAGCAAGCCATGTGAGTCAGGCTCATGTGCCGAGGAATGCCACGCTCGGAGCCGAGTTATCTTGACAATGCCTACGCTGTGGATTCCAGTCTGCAACTGGAAAGTTTGTAAGGAGGACGAGTCAATTTAGGACACAAGGAACCTAAAAAATAAAATGAAAAGAAAACAAAGAGTCTGTTCGACTCGGGTTTACTGTCTCCCAGGAAAGCAGTAAGTTTGCAGAGGCTGCTGCTGTAGGTGGCGGCGAGTCAGTAGGATTAAAAACAGTATCTGTTAATTTTTGTTGTATATTTTTACATTCAAGATTTTAATTTTAGATCATTCTTTTCTCCAAGGTTAGAGTACATTTTGATTCACTTTCCTCTTGGACTTGTAACTGGAATCTCTAACCGGCAAATTCTAACTTTAAAAGTGAGCAAAAAAAAGCGAGCCTCTTCACTAGCAACTTGTAGTGATGGCTCCGTAGGCCGGAGCAGCAGTGCTCAGCATCATGAGCTGTCGCTCATGGTGGCCTTGGGTACAAAGGAAGGAAACGTGCCCAGTCCTGCACCACCCTCACGGTGGCTCTCCCGCGCCAGCCCAGTGATGCATCCCCTGTGTCAACCCCTCTTGTCACAGGTGCCCGGTACGAGCTGTCATTAGGAAAGTAGACCCTACGGCAACACTACTACGATAGCTAGCACCGTCTATGACAATGGTTGACATTAGGAAAGACTCACTCCCCCAGGTTTTGGTAAAGGATACAGAACTTGGCAGATAAGGGGCAGAAGTCTTCTGAAGGGGGTAATCGGGCGCGTGCTGACACCCATGGATGAGCTGGAATGCTGGAAAGGAGCAGTCTCCACAAGTGCACATTTCTGGGGAGAAGGGTCCGTAGCTGATAAGAGGGTGGTAATTGTCCCAAGAGAAGAGCTGATGCTGGAAACCTTTCCCATCCAAGTGAAAACAAGACCCCCAGTCTGGCCAGCTGGCGCTGGTGAGTTTGATGAGTCATTGACCAGTGTTTTGCTCTTAGGAGCAGAAAATGCTTGGCTGGTGTCTATTTAATAATACTCCTCTAGCCAGGAAACGCAGAGACAGTGACTGCTGTTTCTGTGCAGTCCCCCCCGGAGAGACACTGCCTTCGGCCCTGGGGTGGGCGGGAGGCAGGCCAGCATGCCAGGGCCGCTCTCAGCAGGCCTGGGCCCCAGATTCTGCCCAGTTCTGTGCGTAGATTTGTGCCCCAGCTCCACTCTGGGAGTCATCTCGTCCCGCAGGCACGTGTCCCCTCCACGTGAGGAAGACACTTTAGATGACTACTTCTCCCTGTTGCCGGGACGGGGGTGATTTCCCAGCCCCATGCCATCAAGTCGATTCCGACTGGTCACTCACGCCTACCGTGCATTCCCACCCATGGTGACCCCTAAGGACAGCGTGGAACTAACTGCCTCTGGGTTTCCATGACTTGCTCTTGATGGGCCTAGAGAGCCTCCTCTTTGTTCCTCAGGAGGGGCTGGTGGCTTTGAACCGCTGATCTTGCAGCCCAATGCACAGCTCACTATTCCACGAGAGCTCCTTTCTGATGCGTAGTAACCCCAGCAAGGGCTTTTTTTATAGGAGCAGAGAGCCTCATTTTTCTCCCGTAGAGAGGTTGGTGGTTTTGAACCAGCAGCCCTTTGGTTGACAATTCAGTGCTTAGCTGATGGCTCCACCAAGACTCTTTCGACACCCACTGCCACAGAGTTGATTCCGCCTCATGCCCATGGAAAATGGAATGAAAAGACACTGGCATCTTCCCATTAGTATTTGAAGTCCCCTGTATCCCTCTAAGACAGTGGTTCTCAACCTGTGGGGTCGCGACCCCTTTGTGGGTCAAACGACCCTTTCACAGGGGTCACCCGGTTCATAACAGTAGCAACATGATAGTGATGAAGTAGCAACGAAAATAATTTTATGGTTGGGGTCACCACCACATGAGGAACTGTATGAAAGGGTCGCCGCATGAGGAAGGTTGAGAACCATGCTCTAAGAGAACTCGCTTTACTGGCAGACAGTGAAGCCATCAGGCTGCCATTTCCCTGGGGGAGCTTCCCAGGGGGCCAGGCCTTCCTGAGGTGGGTGGGACCATGGAGATGGGCACCAGAACCCTGTGGGTGGTGCCAGCACAGCTGCGGATGATTCCTAGGCTGAGTCGAATCTGTGGGGTTGACAAGGCAGAACAAGGGGCAGCAGCAAAGGCCCGTGGGGGTCTGCGTCTTCACAACCCACGGCCCACCGGCCCTGCTCCCGCCCACCTTGATGCTCTCTGTGCCTCCGTTTCTCGTGTGGAAACGAGCGGGGCCGGGCGAGGGGCTTCGGTGGCTCCTCTGCTCTCGAATCATGTGCGTCTGGTGCTGGGGAGCACCTGGCCCTGAAGAGCTGACCCAACGGGACGCCGATGTACAAGGAGCTGACGCAGCCTCCTCTTGTTGCAGGTCGGAAGGGATGCGGCCATTCACGTGTGGGACACGCAGACGCTGAAGTGCCTGTCGCTCTTGAAGGGGCAGCACCAGCGAGGGGTGTGCGCGCTGGACTTCTCAGGTGAGCCACGGCTTCCGCCACGCGGGCCCACGGGCACGGTCTGCTTCCCCCTCTGTCCCTGTGTTCCGTCTAGAATGGAGGGCCCCTCCCTGCCTTATGGGTGAAGTAGCCCTGTCTGCTACTCAGTTTGGATGTAGACTGGCCCTCGGAAGGGCTGCAGAGCCTCCGTGGAAAGAGGTGGGATGAGACAACGATGGAAGTTTTCCACGGATTTTTTTAAGCTCCGCTGTTCATGGGAATGCCTCATCAGAGGGAAAACATGGCTTTTAGACAACACCCTGCCGTGCGATCCCTCGCTGTGTGGCTCGGGTGGACCCTGCAGGACAGAGTGGAACTGCCCCGTGAGTGCCAGAGGCTGTCCTTTCCGGGAGCAGAGCGCCTTCTTTTTCGTCCACAGAGAGGTGGGTGGTTTTGAACTGCTGACCTGGTGGGCAGCCCGGTGTGTGCTTGGCTGCAGTAACAGACAGACCACGAGGGGGCGGGGAGGGCTTTAACAAAGAGATGTCTTTCCCCCCAGGCCAGGAAGCTACAGGCTGGCACCCAGTTCAGGGTGCCAGCTCTAGTGTAAACTGTCTCTCTGTGGTCTCTGCGGGCAGGTCCTCGTCTCTTTGAGCTCTGTTCCTGGGTGGCCTTCCTGTGGCTGACACCTCTCTTCTCCCCTCTCCGTTTCCTTCACTTGCTCGTTTGATCTCTTTCACATCTCAGAGATGGATGCAGGACGCTCCCTGCACTCACCCTGCCTCATGAACTCGATAGGGACACCCCTTGCCCAGTGGGGTTACCCCAGGCAAAGAGCTGAGGGGGCACAAGGCATGGGGGGGACACAAGTCTGTCTGTAACGCTCCCCGCCCTCCTCCTGGCTCCCAAATCATCTCCGGATCTCCCGTGTCCTGCCTTTGCTCAAGCGATTTGACACCCAGAGCAGCTTTGCTGGTGACAGCCTGCCTCACAGAGGCCTGCCGCTGACTCAGTGTCCATCTCGGCCTGAATGCGCGCTTTCGAGCCCAACACGCGGAGTTCAGGGAAGACTTGGCGGAAACATTGGGGAGTGGGAAATAAGACTTCGTGTTGAAAAAAATAGGACTGACGTTTTCACTGACTTGGTTGAAAACTTGGAAAAACAGCACCCCCCAAACGTTACGGGGTGCACATCCTTCTCTGCTGAGTGGGGCTGGCCAGCAGCCTGTGCATGGGACAGACCAGGGCTTTCGCTGGGGCTCGAGAATGAGCACCTGTCCAAGCAGATGTTTTTGATCATTTTATTGGGGACTCTTGCTACATGCCATACATCCATTGTATCAAGCATCTCTGTACATAGGTTGCCATCATCATTGAGTCCTTAGTATGGAGATTTTTAATTAGACCAGTTGTGGAAACTAAATTTGTAGACAAAAATTCTAAACTTTCTATAGAGCACTGATGTGTGTGTCAGTGATAAGCCTCATTTAAGTGTTGCATAGGTACGTTGTATATGTTAGTGCTAAGCCTCACTTAAGTGTTTCTTCCGTACACTGTATATATTAGTGCTAAGCCTCATTTAAGTGTTTCATCCATACGCTGTGTGTGTTAGTGCTAAGCCTCATTTAAGTGTTGCATCCGTACGCTGCGTGTGTCAGTACTAAGCCTCATTTAAGTGTTTCATCCATATGCTGTGTGTGTTAGTGCTAAGCCTATTTAAGTGTTTCTTCCGTACGTTGTGTGTGTTAGTGCTAAGCCTCATTTAAGTGTTGCATCCGTACGCTGCGTGTGTCAGTGCTAAGCCTATTTAAGTGTTGCATCCGTACGCTGCGTGTGTCAGTACTAAGCCTCATTTAAGTGTTGCATCCGTACGCTGCGTGTGTCAGTGCCAAGCCTATTTAAGTGTTGCGTCCGTACGCTGCGTGTGTCAGTACTAAGCCTCATTTAAGTGTTGCATCCGTACGCTGCGTGTGTCAGTGCTAAGCTTATTTAAGTGTTGCATCCGTACGCTGCGTGTGTCAGTGCTAAGCCTATTTAAGTATTGCGTCGTACGCTGTGTAGCATCAGTCCCTGGCTTCTCTGACTTCACAGCCTCCACCTCTCAGTCTTCATTCGTCTTCTCCTTGTCCGAGGCCTCGCTCGCTCTCATCTGTGCCAGCGCCCTACTCTCTCTGAGCTCATGCCCATCTCTCTCCGTCCTTCTCACCTCCGGTCACCAGCGACTCTCTTGGCAGGACATTCCCAGCCTCCCGTGATCTGGCCTTGACCTGCCCTGGCATTAGGTTGTACCTATGGACCTTTTCATGCCCTGTACCTCTACCTGTCCGGTGCGGAGCCCTGGTGGGGAGGGGTACTTACTCCGTGGGCTGCTTACTCCAAGGTCAGCAGCTGGAGATCACCGGTGGCTCTGTGGGAGAAAGAGGCGGCTTTCTCAGAGCTACAATCTCAGAACCCCCGGGGGCAGGTCTACCCTGTGCTACAGGGTCGCTGTGAGTCCACGAGACCTCACCCCAATGGCCGTGGGTCTGTGGGAGTTTAATCAGGCCTCTCCGAGGTCCTGCCTCCCCTTGTTGCCTGTGTGCCTTTGCTCAGACTGGCCTCGGACGTCTGGTCAAGTCCTCCCAGCCGTTAGGCCCCCACAGAACGCTGTGTCCTCCATCCTTCCAGGCGGATCTGACCTGAGCTTCCTGCGTCGACTTCACCTGCTGTTGTCCTTGCTCTCAGGGCCCCCAGAAGAGCCCACGTGTGGCTGTCTGTGGCTGCCCCTCAGATACCCTTCACACCCAGTCCCCTCCCTGGGCAGCAGGGCCACCCCTCTGACACTCACTGCTGCGGCCTTGGCCGTGACTTAGGAAGTGCAGGCGAATGACTGCAGGAGTCGAAGGCGTGGAGATGTGGTTAGTGCCCATGTCTGTGTCTCACAAACACTACAATCTTGCACGCTACACCAGACCACCCTTTGGTCTTGACCTCATCCCTGGCCAAGGCACATGATGCAGTCTTGTTGCTGTGGTTGTTGGTTTTTTGGTAGCATGCATCTGCTCACACGCTGTGCACTACGATGCAAATGTGAGTCGTTACCTCTGTCGTAGAAGTGATCTCGCCTGGGCATTTTTTATGAGCCCTGAATAGGGGGACCAAATCATAATTGATTAAAAAAATTTTTCTTTCTAATTTCCCCTTGACGTGGACATTAAACGCCTCAGAATTATTTCTGTGCCGTGCCACAAAACATCCCTGATCAGTACGTACTGTGGCCGCAGAGCTGCGAAAAGGCAGGACGGGAAGGGAAGCTCTAGCGACTGGCAGGAAACGAGAGCGTTTCAGAGCTGCGGTCGAGCCTCCACCGGAGGGAGTGAAGCCTTGAGAGAAATGAAGAGCGGCCAGTGGCAGTTCTCAGAGGCGTGCTCCCCTTGCGGTTCCCGAGGTGGTCTGAGGGCGCCGTCACCTCCGACTGGCAGGAGGGGCAGAACTGTGAGCACCGGCGGGTGGGCCGGGGGGAAGTCTGGGGTCAAAACATGGTCCCAATAACAGTCGTGCGCCCTGAGCTCACCAAAGAGCATAAAATCGGGGGGGAAATAAACAGGTGTCTTGAAAGTGAAGGTGCTGTGCTCCAAGAAGGATGTATTAAATATAGCCGTGCAGATGAGAAAACTGCACAATATTGAAGTAACGGATGCACAGAAGAGACAATGACTATTTTATGAAAATTGAAGAAAAACTGTATATGGCCTTAATGCCCCCTTCCCTCAGAGCACCCATCGGCATCTCCCCTCTTCACCCTCCTCCTGCCCAGTGTCACCGCCCATTGACGCTCAGTGTGAGGACCCCTAGGGAGATGGTTGCGATTCCTGCCCAGCAGTCAATCCTGGAAACCGGGAGAACCTGCCAAGGAAAATGCTGAGAGAAACATCATCAGCTCATGCCAAGAGCTAGGGCAGCGGTTCTCAACCTTCTCGTGCCGCGGCCCTTTCATACGGCTCCTCGTGTGGTGACCCCCAACCATGAAATGATTTCCGTTGCTACTTCATCACTGTCATTTTGCTACAGCTATGAATTGGGCGACCCTTGTGAAAGGGTCGTTTGACCCCCAGTGGGGTCACGACCCACAGGTTGAGAACTGGATTAGAGAAAAATAATAAATCTTATTGGTCATAGAAAAGCATGATCAATGCATGAAAGGAGAGTTGGCCCGATTTGAATCTTGGTACCGTTTAAGCAGAGCCCTGGTGACGCCGTGCTTACGAACTGAGCTGTGATCCACCGGCCGCTCCTCGGGAGAAAGACGGGCGTCCCCTCCCTAAGAGCGACAGTCTCGGAAACTCCCGGGGGCAGTTCTGCCCCCTCCCAGGTGGTCGCTGTGAGCCGCCATCGGCTCCGCAGCAGTGAGTCTGTGTGGGGGCTTCTCGAGTCCTGGTGGCAGCAGTGGTGACGAGCTTGGCTGCTCTCCTCAAGGTTGGCAGTTTGAACCCTGGCTGGAGAGAGAAGTGGAAGTCTGCTTCCATGAAGATGGTCACTTGTGGAGACCTGCAGGACAGGCCTACTCTGCCCTATAGAGTTGGTGTGAACTGAAACTGACTTAAGGGCAAGGGATTAAAAGGTATCAAAAGGTCAAAAACAAACAGTTATATCCGTGTGAAGGAGAGGGGTCCGAGTGGAGCCCAGAGCCCATCCACTGATAACTGGACATCCATTCCCTCACAGAAGGGACACACAGAAGGGACCATTCATTCAGGGCGCAGCATAGCACTGACGAAACTCACAATATCCCTCTAGTTCTTTAATGCTTCCTCCCCCCCACTATCATGGCCCCAGTTCCATCTTACAAATCCTGCAAGACTGGAATGTGTACACCGGTACAGATAAGTGCTTTCAACACACGGATTCCAGGACAGACAAACCCCTCAGAAACAGTAATCCGAGTAATGATTCCATGAGGGGGCTGGAAGAGAGAAGGGGGAACTGATAGCAATGATGGATATATAACACCGCCCACACACACGAGGGGAACAAATAACAAAAATGTGGGTGAAGGGATACAGCGGTCATTGTAAGATACGAAAAAATATATCAAAGGGCTCAAGTAGAAAGATAATGTTTTGAGAATGATGCTGGCAACATATGTACAAGCACACTTAATCTAATTGATTTATGGAGTATTGCAATATCTGCAAGAGCCCCCAATACTGTAAGAGCCCCCAATGATTGAATATCAGAAAATTAAGCATCGTGGCAGATCACGGATGTCACCGGGTGATGGCGTGGCCCCTTTGTTGTTGGATGCCATCCAGCTGGTTTTGAGGATCAAGGGGAATGGCCTCAGGACTTTCTGGGCTGTAATTTCTAAAGTCGATTTCCAGGACGTGTCCTGAGGACCCACGGGGTGGATTCAAACTGCCAGCCTTGCAGGGCCAGGCTCCTTGTTAGGGTGCCCAGGGCCCTGGGAGAGTTGGGAGCCTAGGTGGTGCAGGGCGTACAAGTCGGGCTGTGATCCCCATGGGTGGCAGTTTGAAACCACCAGCAGCTCTTGGAGAAAGACTGGGCTTTCTACTCCCGTCAGCAGTGACCGTGCTAGGGACCGGAAGGGGTCACGGCGAGGCAGCAGTGAGTCTGGAGTGTGTTTTATTTTGGCACTTTGGTGTTAGGTACGATCGAGTCCGTTCCGACCCAGTGCCACCCTGTACACAACCGAATGACACAGACCCAGCTGGGCATCCTCCCCCTTGTCCCCAGGCTCCAGTCCATGCTGCGGCCACCGTGTCAGCCCAGCCCGTCCAGGGCCTTCCTCGCTTCCGTTGCCTCTCTACCAAGCAGGAGGCCCTTCTCCAGTGACAGTCAGTGCAAGTCCGTGAGATGAAGCCCGCCAGCTCGCCTCTGAGGAGCACTCTGACCGTACTTCTTCTAAGACAGATCTGTCCGGCCTGTTAGCAGTCCGCAGGGCTCTCGGCCTAGTGCTGTTTCCGACTCCTGTGAACAGGCTAGCGTCACTTCCAACCCCTGACTCGGACTGAATAACTGAGCTTTGGGTTGGATCGCTCCAGGGTGCTGCCCTCTCTTTCCCTCCCTTTTCCTCCAGAAAAGAAGCAGGCCACCTTCGCCAGTCAGCTGAGGGAGGGTCCCTGACGCTTGAGGGTGGGACATTGCTTAGGACTTGGGCCGCAGTTGCCTGATTCCATTAATGAAAATACAGGAAGCCGACTTAACTCTGAATGTCAGATAAAGCACAAGTGATTTTCCAGTGGAAGCAATGTAATATCAGCCCATGGTGCATGTAATCTAAGTACCAGTGTGCAGTGTAATTATCTATACTGCATGGGACGCTGTTCTTTGTCATCTGAAATTCGAACCTCATAGGGCTTTCATTTTCTCTGTCAGCCCTAACTTGCGGCTGAGCCTCAGTCCACCTTTGGGGATAGCAGAGGACACCTCAAGTGCTCCGTGAAGGAGCGGCTGGTCAGCTCCTAGTTTCTTTACCCCAGCGGCTGCTCTCTCAAGTCAGAGAAGAAAAAGCAAATCAGAACAAGGCAAACACGCTGATTTCAAGCTGGTTACAGTTCACAGCGGCCCTGGCCTCGTGGGGCAGTGGGGAACTGCTGGGGAAGGGTGGCCACTGGCACCCGGCGGTCACTCCCAGAGGGTTGAGATGTGCCAGTCTGCTTCTAAACAGATGTGCAACCTTGCCACCCAGGGGGGGTCTTTCCCCTCAGTGGCAGGGTCGCTGTGAGTCAGAAGAACCTGCTGCCAGTCAACCCTGACTCACAGCGACCCCGTAGGGACAGCCTCCTCAACGCTAGAGAAATAAACAAATTACAGCGAATGACAAAAACACCCCAAACCCGATGCCAAGGGTCCATGCCACTCGGAGCGGCCCCGTAGGACAGAGCAAACCTCCTCCATGAGGTTCCCAGAGCCGTGGTTTCACAGAGGCTAATTGACACGCCTGCCTCCTTGGGGGCAGTGCTTGGCTTGGAATTGGCAACCTTTCAGTTATCAGGTGAGTGTCTGGCCACGTTGTCGCCCACGCTCTTAACTAAGTGATGGAAATCATTACATGTGGCTGTATGAAGCCTTCGTGGCATAGTGGTTACATGTCAGTGGTTACATGTCAGTGGTTACACGTAAGGTCGGCAGTTCGAAATCACCAGCCGCTCTGCAGGAGAGAGACAGGCTTTTATTCCCGCGGAGTTAGAGCCTCGGAGACTACAGGGCAGTTCTACCCTGTCCTGTAGGGTTGCCTGAGTCAGC